TCAGTGGTTGGGTGAGCGCTCTGGGCTGTGTTTTCCAGAGCCTTTCCCTACCGGGCCGGAGGGCTGGGCACACCCGGGACCCTCCCCCAACACTGCAGCTTACGAAGGCCTCCCCACCCACCTGCTCCTGGGTGGGCTTCATGCCTGCCCTAGAGGAGGAAACAGGCTGAGGAGTGGAAGGGTGCGCTTCCTCTGGTGGCCGGCCCTCACCAACCTTGACCCTTGCCTTGGTTTGTATTGCAGAGTTTGATAAATTCCTTGAAGAAAGAGCCAAAGCTGCTGAAATGGTTCCTGACCTCCCCTCACCCCCCATGGAGGCTCCTGCCCCAGCCTCAAACCCTTCTGGCCGGAAGAAGCCAGAGCGGTCAGAGGATGCCCTCTTCGCCCTGTGAGCGGCTCTGTGGTTTGCCTCCCCAGATGGCGGGTCCCCACTCGCACCCCATGGACACCAGGCACTGGCCACTCCTACATCCCCAGCTCCACACGGCCTGCACACCTGTGTCTCCATGGAAATGCCACCGTGTCTGCTCCCAGGCCTCCCACTAGTCAGGACCAGCTTTAGCCACCTTCTTTTCTGAGTGGTGGGACAGCTGCAGCCAGAGACTCCTTTCCCTCCCACCACGGGCCCCTCTGCCCATGTTTCCTCCAAGGAAGAGTGGGCAGAGTGGCCCAGCCCCAGGCAGTGCTTCCTGAGCAGACCACCCGGACTGTCTTTCCTCCACCCACCCACGGAGAAGGAGCAGGCCTGGCCCTGCCCTGTGCTCACCTCTGCCTGGCTCAGCAACCTTCTCAGGCATTCTGCCCACCTGGGCACCTCTCTCCCCGAAGGGGCTTTGTGGCATCTCTGGAAGAGCAGGGTGCGCTGCACCCACCTGGGGCCTGGTCTCCCTCCTTGGACTTGTCACTTTGTGACGTTTGGCTTATCGGCATTTGAGAAGGCTCTGCTGGGTGTCCATGGGGGGTCTCTCACCTTCTTGACCCTCTCTCCATCACTCAGCTGCCAGCGCAGGCTTCACACCCAAGCTGGCTCAGCAGCCGAGCCTGGCACCAAGGGGCCCTGTAGGCTCCCAGGGCAGGGAGAGGGCCAAGGACAATTGGGAGGGCAGCAGGCAGCCTGCAGATGGTGGCCATGTGGCACGCTGCTGAGACAACACTACCGATAAACCAAACTGCCATGCACACACTGCAGGCTCACACCCACACACCTGGCCCTGGCTTGTGGAGGGGCTTGCATTGGAGGCATTGCTCTGGCTTGCCTGGGGAAGTGTCACAGGTGTGCACATGGGCCACACTCAAGGCTGTGGCCTGGCCTATCGTAGCCTCGCACCTCTGCCTCCAGAGCCAGCAGTAAACAGCTTTGCGGCACGCTTGGAGGTTCCCAATGACTGAGAGGCCTGAGCAGCACTAAGGCCCCTGCACTGCTCCCTGGCATCGGCCTTGGCCTGCTTGCACAGACTGTCCTGACAGCCTGGCCTCCTCCCACCTCAGAGGTCCTCTGGCCACCAATTTATACTGTCTCCCCAAGCTGATCCTGAAGGCAGACAGAGCAGCTAGGGGCTGGTAACATATATTCCCATCCCGTGTCCTCACTGGTGTGTCTCCTGGCCATAGGCATGGGACTCATGGGTTATCCCAGGCGCTGGTCCAGCCAGACACCTCCCCCACACCTCTCACCAAGCTGCTGTTGCTCAGAAGAAGGAGAATGCTGCAGCTGTGCACACTCCCGTGCGTCTTGGGCCCAGCTCACTGGGTCAGTCTGTTCCTGTCCCCTCCAGCATGCACTGCCTAGGTCAGCACAGGTTCCTGACCCATGGTGTAGTTAGCCCTTCCCACCTGGCAGGATGGCCCAGACCACCAGCCAAGCAGGGAAAGGGGGCTGTGCTTGACAGGAGAAGCGACCAGTGACACGGTCTTTGGGGAGCATTCAGGATGGTGACTTGAGCCGGGAGCCATGCTGAGCACCAACAGGAACTGTTCAGTGAAGAGCAAGTGCTGCCCGACCCAGGACCCCGTGCCAGGCTAGCAGCCCTCCAGCTTCCTCCAGAGAGGAGACCTCGGTCTGGCTGAGGGTGGGACTAGCAGGGATGTCACACTCCAGTTCTCAGGTTTACCCAGGAAGCTCCTCCATGGAGCCTGGCCAGCCTGATTCTAGCCCTGTCCTCTCTGGCAGTACGTGCCGCAGCTGGCCTCTCTGCTCCCTGACACTTGATGAGCCCCTGCCTCTCTCCTCAATGTTTCTCAGAGACAGACCTTCCTGAGGCCAGCTTGAATGTGAAGACTTCTGAAGCCAGCTGGCTTCACTTGAGCTGCAGAAAAGGTGGCTGGGATGGCCCAGGTGCACCCAGAGGCCCCAGCCCTTTGGCTGCCTTTGGGTTGTGACTTGGGTTGTCTCTGAGGCCCTGCCAGAGCTGGGCCTGCGGGTGGTGGGTGGCCGGACCTCGGGCAGTCAGTGCTCTGCAGCCTCAGCACTGTAGCCCAGACCCAGTGTCCTCGGAGGGAAGAGCCAGCATCCCTGCCTCATGGAATGGGGAGTCCCGAAAGGTCAGGAGCCTGGAGGCTCTGAAAGGAGCAGGGCTTCCATAGTGCGTGAAGCTGGGATAGGTGCCCTCCTGGGGAGCCCCCAGCAAAACTGTTTTTCATACCTATGCCCAGAGCTGCCCCACCCCAGTTCCAGCTCCTGCTCTGGCTCCAGCGCCAGCTGGTTGCCAGTCATGATTGGAGAGGCCTGGCTGCCCCAGGGGCAGCAGGGAGTGGTGGACCTGTATGGGCTGGCAGGAGGCCATTGGCCATGCTGACAAGTATCACCTGCCTTCCTGGCCTGGAGCCACCCCTCGGGTGGCTTTCCAGCGCCTGCTTGCACCTCCTATCCAGAGGTAGCCTTCCCCACCTGTAGGCAGAGGGGGCTCTTGCTTGAGACCTGCACAGGAAGCAAGTACAGCCCCAGTGCCCCAGAGGGGCTTCCACTCAGCCCTGGCGAGATGTCCTGTCCTGAGGTCTCTGCTCCCAGACTCCACCATCTGGGGAGCACAGTCCTCAGGCTGCCTGGTCCAGGAAGGGGGCACGACCCTGTCAGGAAACCTGGACTCTCAAGGCCCACCAGCCTCTCCGTGAGTGTTAGAAATCACAGATACAGTATATACTTAATTACACTAAATTATTGCTGGGATTCCTCATAAGCACTAATTATACCTGATTATAGGTTAAAATATTTATTTTGTCAAAATATTTTCTTGGGAATGTGTTTAACCCTTTCTGTGTTCATTGTGTGCTGAGATGTGAAAACTAGCCATTCCCTCCTGCCTACCGTTTTGGCCAGTGGGCAGCAGAGAATGGCGCCATGTGCAGTTGGGCCCCTGGCACCGTGGGCCTTTGGCCCGCCTGCCACAGAGTGGCCCTGTCTGGGCAGCCTGCAGGCACTGAGCAGACCTACTGTGGCCAGGCTGAGAGAATGACCGGCTCGCTTACCAGCGTGCATGGGACAAGGGGCTTTGGAGCCTCAAGGGGTTGTTGCTGGCCTGGGCCGGAGGGAAAGGTGAGCATCCAGCTGTCCTCCTGTCTTTCTGTTAGCGCCTCCACGCAAGTGATGGTGCCTTGGTTCACTGGCCTTCCCCCACCTCCCCACCCTGCCACCTGGTGGTCTTGGGGCCTGTACTGTCACTCCAACCCCTGGGGAGGAGAGGACCCAGCTGGGAGAGTTGGGGCAAGGGCTCTGCATGGCCCAGGGGCAACAGATGCCAATGCCCAGGCTCCTGCCCCCCTCCTTCCCACTGCCACACCCCATCCTGGGTCCCCGCAGACACACATCTCTAACTCAGTCGGGCCCAGCCTTCTGGATGGCTCGGGGTAGGCCATGGGCCCACCTGGGGCCAGGCCAGCCCCTGGGCAGCTCTGGAAGCGCAGTGTGAAGGAGCGCTTGCTTGCAGCCTGGCCTCAGCCTCTAGCACTGCTGGGGTGGCCCCCAGGAGCCTCTCCACTGTTGGCTGTGGGGACATCTCACCCATTTGGGTTACAGCCAGTCTTCCCCACCCAGAGAGAAGTGTTTCCACCCCAGAGACATTGCCTGTCAGCCCCTGAAGTGCTTGCCTCCCCCAGTGCCCATCACCAGCCGTTCCTATCTGTGGGGTCCAAGACAGGCTTCCCCTGCAGCCACCAGCTGCCGGGAGCAGCCATCAGCCCCTGAGTCAGAACTGCTTCTGTCTGTCCATACCTCCAGGCCCTCCCGGAGAGGGGGACAGATACTTATTTCCTAAAGTTTGCACTTAATTGTGAGGATTCTCAGGATTGTTGGGGGCTACCTGAAAAGAGGAATGTGTTGAATGTTGCATTTGCTGTCCACTCGTCCTAGAAGTTTAGTGTTCTTGTCACTGTCATGTGTTTCTGTGGGCAGAGCTGGTTCTGGAGGGTGGGTCAGTGCACCCGAGGCTCAGAGCATCCATCCACCCCACTGGCCCTCCTTCCAGATACCCTCTCTCTAGTTGGGTTCTTGCATGTAAAATACTCCACAATAAATAAATAATTGAACAAATTGTGCCTGTGTAGTCTGTTGAACTGTCTACGACTGTCGGAAGGGCTTGCCAGTTTTGACCACCTGCTTTCTTTAAGCAGAGGCGGCCATGGGGACCCTCAGTCCACCCTTCCCCAGTGCCCAGGCTGCCTGAGCAGCCCGTTACCTGGCCGGGAAAATCCCTGTACACGGCCTAGGTTGTGGTGTCAGTGGGAGCAGCTGTGAACCTGCCACAACCTGCCTGAGAGCTCTAGGACCAAGTGCGGTGGTTGTTACTAGGTCTTACCCCAGGTCCCAGATGGGCAGGAGGAGGCCACTCATCCTTGCCCAGGGCACTCAGGCCTTGAGCAAGCAGGCCTGAGCCAGCCCCGACCCCCCCTAATTCCCAGCCCCCACCCTCAGCTGGGCTCCCACAGCTGGGCTGGGCATCATCCGCAGAGCCTGTGCCGGGCACTGAATTTGAGAAGTGCTGCTCCAAGCCAGGTGGACTTCACACTTTCTTTGTTGACAGCTTTACTGAGATTTAATTCACATAGCATACAGTTTACCCATTTAAAGTGTACAATTAAGTAATCTTCAGAATATTCATAGAGTTGGGCAATCCTCCCCACAACGAAATTTAGAACATTTTTATCCCCCCAAAAAGAAACCTGTCTCCTCCCATCCCTGCAGCCTGCTCTCCCTTTCTAAACAGGCTTCTTTTCCCTCTCCCCTTGTCCTGGAGGTGGGTGCCTGCAGCCCTTTGTTGTAAGGCAGCCGTCCTCCCGGAAGGGGGCCCCTCAGGCCCAGAGACGGGGTCATAAGGGGTGCACTGTGGGAGCCTGTGGGACCTGTGCCTTCTCCAGGTGGCTTGGGAGGCTGAGGGCCCTTTAATCCCTTCGCTGGGGCTTAAGGACAGACCTCAAGTCAGGGTGGACTCGGCAAACCCCCAATGAACCTGGAGATCTTCCCAACCTCTTGCTATGCCAGAGAAGACATGGAGGACTAGAAAGAGCTGTAACCTTGCCCCAGGCCACACAGAGAGTAGTGGCAGAACCAGCAACCAACCCAGAGCCAGACCTCCCAGACAGGGCCATGGAGTGGCAGGAAAGACACCACTTCCACGGCCAGCAGATGAAGCTGGCAACAGTCCTCTGGGAGGGTGGCTCAGGAGGGGCTCTCCTGCCCACTGATATGAGGCAGGTCACGGCAGGGGATGTGTTGAGACCACCACCATCATCAGTCGTAGCCAGAAGGGGCAGCACCCAGCTCCCTTTGGCCAGTTGCCTCCCTGGGCTCCAGGGAGCTCTACAGAGCCCTGTTTCCGACCAGTTGGAGGGAGATAGAGGTTCCCACACCCAGTGGGGAAGGGGAGTGGGCTTCTGAAGTGGGGGTGGGGGCTGCAAACCCAGGTCCCTTTGAACAGACAGCATAGACCCTGGCTCATTATGTGCTCCCAGCACTGTAGCAGGCAATGTGAGCACTGAAAGAGGCCTGAGCTCTATCCCTACCCTGTGGAGAGTAGATTGGTCCTGAGGCACCACTGTGGATCACCAGGACACCTAGGCCACTTGTACTTTCAGCAGTGTTCCTGAGAGTCTGCTGTGTGCCAGGCTGATGCCAGAGGGGAGGGACGGGGCTGCTTCAGACCTGCCCTTGGGGAATGCGCAGCCTGGGTCCATTCCCAGAGTCAAGGGGAGTCTGCAGTCAGTAAGTGTCGTAGCCCTCTTCCAGGGCCTGCAGGGAGAGGAGGCTCTGAGCTGAGCCCCAGGGCACTGAAGCTGCACACTTGAGGTGTGCATTGTGGGAGCCTGTGGGTAGGCCAGCTGCACAGGAACAGGAGGGTGGCTGTGCAACTCTGACTCAACCGACTTGAGGGCACTTGCTGAATGTGCTTTCCCAATACATTCACAGCTGTTCTGATCAAGGAGGGGCTCTGTGGGAAAAGAAATTGGGAAAATGCTTGAGTAGAGTAGCATCAGGACCTCTTTGCCAAAAGGAGGCAGTTTGTGGCCCAAAGTCCTCATTTAGAGATGACACATTGGACATTTTTTGGTTATGGAAGAAACTGTTTAATCAGAAGAATGTGTTATGTAGATAGAATTATGTAACTGAATTAGCTTCAGGCACAGCTGGATCCAGGTGCTTGTGAATTTGGTCAGGAATCTGTCTGTCTAAGTCTTGGTTCTGCCTCCTCTGGGTTGGCTCTTCCATGTGGCTGACTGCAGGCTACCTGGAGCTCTAGGCAGACATCCTGCTGGCAGAGAGAGGGTGCCTCTTTCCCAATACAGTAGTTCCAGCCAAAGTCCCAGAACCCACCCTGAAAATCAGGCTCTTAGCAGTGGAAGAATGAAATCTGGGCAAGCACAAACAATAGATGGTCACCGCAGTGTGGATGGAGGGGGCCAGAGATGGGAGTGACACACTGAGGGCACAGACTTGGACACAGACAAACTTCTGGACTCTCCCAGCGTTGCCTCCTCACCCCTTGGATGGAAGGCTCTGTCCTTAGAGCCCCATGAGAACTGTTTTCCATCCCTAGAGATCTGGGAGGGGCAGTGTGGGAACATTGTGGTCCCATCACTGCTCACGATGCACCTGCCCATGAAAGCACCTGAGAAAGAGGGATTCTTTTCCAACCCACCTGTTTTCCAAGAAAAGGGTCTCTTTTGGGTCCTGGGGGCAGGGGAAGGGCAGAAGGTGAGACCTTGATAGGTTTGCATGACCCACCCAGAAATTCCATCAGTTTATTTTACAGGAGCCCCTGTCAGAGCTTCTGGAGCAGACCTCAGATGAGTCTGTCTAGGGCCTCCAAGCCCAGGCCCTCAACATTCCAGGATGCAAAATCTCTACTCTCAGCACTAGGGAGTAAGCAGGATGCTTCCGGAAATTGAGCGGACTCCATTGTCTGGTGCCATTTCCTGTCCATCCCATGCCTACCTGGGGTTGCAGGCTTAACTGTAGGTGTTGGGTAAGTCACCGTCTCACTCTGTTCTTTACTCTCCTGATCCTGATCCGTAAACTGGTGTAGTGGGTAGTAAACCCAATGCCCACAGGGGCCTTATTACGTGGATTTCCTCACTCCCCCTGCTGCCAGCTAGACTCACCCCTTTCTTTTTTTTTATTTTATTTTATTTTATTTTTTTGAGACGGAGTCTCGCTCTGTCGCCCAGGCTGGAGTGCAGTGGCGCAATCTCGGCTCACTGCAAGCTGACTCACCCCTTTCAGTATGCAGTTGGCCTCTCCTCAAACAGCCAGTTACCCCCCAGAGAACAGGTATCAGTATTCCTCAGCCTTTGTGAGCTACACTCCTCACTGTGCAGCAATCTTTGGGGTTGAAGTAGCTCTTTTGTAGAGGGTGTGTTCAATGACTCATGATAAGCCTGCAGGTGCCCACGTGGGTGTGAGCCTCCAGGGGCAATGCTGGCCATGGAGGCTCGGAGAGGGCTGGAAAGAACTTGCCCAGTTCACCACAGAGCCCAAGCTGGAATGAGACCAGGAGCGTCATCTACGACCAGAATCATCCTTGTCAACAGTCATCTCACCCCGTTATATACAGATGAAGAAGTGGGGGAGGGGAGACTCAGGCGCTGAGCAGTCTCTTCTCCCAGCCTGGTCCCTCCGCCATAACCTGGGCAGGTCCCAGCTTGGCTCCCACAGTAGTGAAGGATATGCAGGGCCAGGCAGGGTGGCAGGGGGCTCTGGGAGTAGGGAGGGGTTTCAGTAGCCTAGGCAATGGCTAGGGTGGACAATCCAGTCTTTCTGCCCAGTGCCCGCCCTGCCATCCACCGCTGAGCTCCGGGCACCGAGGGCATGGCTGGACAGGACGAGCGGCCTGGGAAGAGGCCCTGCCCGCGCTGGACGCCTGCCCGAAAAGGCTCGAAACCCACAGAAGCTGCCTCTCAGTCTCTAAGAGGCTTGGAGGAAGCCGGGAGATGCGAACCCCTATCTCCCAGTTGGCAACGCCGAGGTTGGGCAGGGGCCGGGCTGGGTGACCTGGGAGGAATTCTCTGCTCTGGGCGCGCCACGCAGTCCCGGGTGGGGCTGTCCCGTGTTAGCCCTTCCGTGCCCGCGACGCTCACCTGGCGGCCGTCCCGGCCAGGTGTCTGGCCTGGGGGCTGAGCTCAGCCTGTCCCCGCCGCCCCTCCCTGCCTCCCGGGTCGAGCGGGCGCGGCGCATGTGACCCAGGGCTGGGCTCCCGGGAGTACGCGCTGACGCCGCGTCACCCCACTCCGGGTCGGGCGCCCATTGGCTGCGCCGGGCCCGCGGGGGCGGGGCTGGTCTGGCTCCGCGCCCCGGCTCCCCTGGGTCTCCAGCCGCTGCCCTGGCCCGAGCGTGTGCGGAGCCGGCCTGGCTCTCCGGCTGCCTCCAGCCCCGACAAAATCAGGGGCAGCAGTGCTGTGACGTCCTGAGCAAGTCGCTTCACCGCCCCACTCCGCGTGCCTCAATTTACTCATCTGTAAAATGGGATGGTAACAGCCTCAACCGCCTGAGGCTGTCGAGAGGAGTGACTGGGTTTAAACAGCATTGAGCACCCTGCCAGCGCTCAGCGAATAGACTGTGCGGAACCTGCCCGCCCGGGTCACCGTGGGCCAGGCTGGATCCCTGACCCGATAGACACACCAGTACAGAGGGGCTTGTGTCCACGTTCCTTGGGCGTGCTCAACGCTCCCCAGCCAAGCGGGGCCCGACGGTCTTGCTTGGAGGTCTCAGGATCTTTGAGGGGAGAAACCGCCAAGACAAGCATGTTCCCCCTGAAAAATGGATCCCCTCTTCTGTTTTCCCCTACCCTCACCTTGAGGGTTGCCCCAGTAATTCCAGGCAAAATTCCTCCCACCCCCACGTTGGACTGTGCCCCATGGGGGTTGGATTTTCTGGGGTGCAGGTCTCCTGTTGACGTTGTCTTACCCTCTTTCCCTTTACCCTAACTCCTGCAGTTATAGAGTGAATATTTATTGAGCTATTCTATTTACATATGTGGTAACCCACGTAAAAAACGGTGAGGCGGGTTGGGTTGGGTGCAGTAGCTCACGTCTGTAATCCGAGCCCTTTGGGAAGCCGAGGTGGGTAGATTACCGAAGGCCAGGAGTCTGAAACCAGTCTGGCCAACAAGACAAAACCCCATCTCTACTAAAAATACACAAATTAGCCAGGCTTGGTAGTGCATGACTGTAATCCCATCTACTCAGGAGGCTGAGGGAAGAGAATTGCTTGAACCCGGGAGGCCGAGGCTGCAGTGAGCCGAGATTGTGCCACTGCACTCCAGCCTGGGAAACAGAGCGAGACTGTCTCAAAAACAATAACAACAACAAAAACAAACAAACAAAAAACAGTGATAGCCAGGTGCAGTGACTCACACTTGCAATCCCAGCACTTTGGGGGACCAAGGCAGGTGGATTACCTGAGGTCAGGAGTTCAAGACCAGCCTGGCCAAAATGGTGAAACCCTGTCTCTACTAAAACTACAAAAATTAGCCTGGCATGGTGGCATGTGCCTGTAATCCCAGTTACTCAGGAGGCTGAGACAGGAGAATTGCTCGAACCCAGGAGGTGGAGGTTGCAGTGAGCCGAGATCATGCCGCTGCACTCCAGCCTGGGCAACAGAGTGAGCCTTTGTTTCAAAACAAAAAACAAAACAAAAAACAGTGAGGCAGATCTGTTGTGATGATGACGCCAAAACACCCTCCCTGCCTCTGCAGTGACTGCAGGAAGGGTTATTCCCATTTTACAGATCCAGTAGCTGAGACTCAGAAGTGAGGTAAGTGGATCCAGGTCACGCAGCAAGCAGGTGAAAACCCAGATCACCTGCCTAGCTCTGAAGAGAATGGTATTTAGGCTTCACCCAGTACTTCCTATCCCACCCCCTCCCTGGGAAGGGCTGTTGAAATTTTCAGGGAAATCATCGGCTTCCTGCCGCCTCCAGAGTGTTGGTGGGGGTAGGGCACTGAGGAGAAGCCAGCTTTGTTCTCTGTGTTCTCCAGCAGTTGTTCATCTGGAGGGAAAGGGTCCTGGGTGGACCCTTGAGCAGAGCTACTTGGGGAGATGTGGTTTGGTGACCCCTATGACTTCTGGCTCCCCTATTCTGGGTAATTTTCCACTGCAGCCACTTCTGGGAGAGGAACAAAGGGAGCTGGATGTCCAGGCTGAGCCCCAGGGACTTGGGCTCTGTGGCTTCTCTCCCCCACACACCCCTTCTAAAATGCATCATGAATTTTACTCCTGCTTAGGGCGTGGTCAGACAGGCTATAGCTGGAGTCTGAGCAAGGCAGTCTGCCGGATGGTTTGACCCATGAAGGTCTGGGGTCAGGAAGGCCTGAGGCCCAGGCCCCTGATGAGTTTCCCGGGCTGCCCTCCACCAAGGGTGCTTCTCTCTGCTTACATACCTCTGGGGACAGGGAGCTCACTGCCTTATCACATTCAGATACCTGAATGTGAATTCTGGTTTATTTCAACCCACCTCATTGGGACCCCCATCCCTCCTTCCTGCCCCACCTGGCTCTGTCCCTAGGCCACAGAACCAGGTTCGGTTTCCAGCCTCTTCTCAACAGGGCTGCCTGCTCTGACCTAGTCCCAGTTTGTCATGATCCAGGGCAGCCTGGCTCTGATCTAAAGCACAGCCACCTCTTCCTGTGGCCCCTATCCCGGCTGCTCCCGGGAACAAGTACCAAATCTGGGGTCAGACAGTCCTGGGGCCAGTCTTCCTTGGGTACTGGCTTCCTCCTTCAGGAGCTGCACTGGGCCCACTGGTATCCTATCCCTACAGCTGGATCTGGGAGGAAGCCAAATGAAGACGATAGGAAATTTCAGCCTCTTTCTTTGGCCACTGCTGTCCTCAAGAGGCCAATCTTCTGGTTTTTTTGCAGAGAAGGGGCAGGCTGATCTCACAGGTCGTGCTCCCCTCCACATTGTCACTAGCCTCCCAGCCAACCCGTGAGGAAGCATCATTAGGCCAATGTTACAAATGAGGAAAATTGAGGCAGAGTGACGTCACTGGCCCAGCAGTTACATCAGGCCTGCTCACAACACAGCAGGCCTGAGACCCCTGTAACTTGGATCCTGCCCTGTCCTGTGGTAAAGAGTCAAATCTAGGCAGTGAGGAAATGAGGTTTGGGATGGGCCCAGGCCTGGGGCTTCCACTCAGCTCTCTTGCTTGGTGCTGGAGAAACAGAGGACCAGAGAGGGGGCTTGGCTTGCCCGGGTTTCCGCAGCAGCCGGCCACAAGCGGCTGCCATGGTGCGCGAGGCTGGATAAAATGAATGACTGGAGGGCGCTCTGGGGGAGGGGCCGGCTGAGGGGAGATTTGTGGCGCAGACCGGGGATCAGGGGTCCCCCGCTCTTTCAAGGTGGGGCGGGGCCGTCTATCTGGGAGGGCGGGGCTTCCCCGAAAGGCCCCGCCTCCGCCTCGACCGCCCAGCGGAGCCGCAGCAGGGGGAACCCAGTTTCCGTGGAACTTTTCGCGGGCGCCGGGCCGCCTCCGAGGCCAGGGCAGGACACAAACGCGCGGAGCGGCGGCGGCGGCAACTGCGAGCCGGGGCCGCGGCGGCGCTCCCTGGGAAGGACCGTACGAGGCGGCGGGCCCGGCGGGCCTCCCGGAGGAGGCGGCTGCGCCATGGACGAGCCACCCTTCAGCAAGGCGGCTTTGGAGCAGGCGCTGGGCGGGCCGTGCGATCTGGACGCGGCGCTGCTGACCGACATCGAAGGTGCGTCAGGGCGGGCAGGGCTCGAAGCCGCGCCGGGTGACGCGAGTGGGGGGCGCGCAGGTGCCTCCCTGTCCTTTGTCTCCCCCGCGGGCGCCAGCTCCGTGCTGTGCTCGCGCTGGACTTCCCGGCGTCTCTGAGCTGCGTGCCGTGCGCCTCGGTGTCCCGGGCCCAGCCGAGCCTCCCTGGTTCCCGCCCTAGCGTCTCGGGCCGCGCGCTCGGAGGTGAGGGCTCTTGGGCCGGGCCGGGGTCCCTTGGCGGCTCCCGGCCGGGACACGTGCGCCCCTACGCGTCCCAGGCTGGGTGCCGCCCGACCGGTGACTCTTCAGCCCTGTGGTGGCCACGGCTGGAGCTGGGGACCCGGGCGTCGCCGAAGCTCCGCCCCAGCCCCAGCCGTGACGTAATGGCGAGGTTACTCACGGTCATTCCCTCCGGCCCGAGAGTTCAGCTCGGCGTCGGAGCTCTTACGCATGCGCACTGCCGCTGCCTCGCGCCCTTCCCCCACCTCTGGTCGGGTTCACCAGGTCTGCGACGGGAATCGCCTCCGCACTCATTCACTGACATCCACTGAATGCCAGGCCCCGTCTTAGGCACAGACAGACCTGGGCACCCCCTCTTTCGGGAACACAAAAATCCCCCAGGACACCAAACGGGTATTTAGTTGCACCTTGGGTGGAGCGAGGCTGGCGGGGAGGGCAGGGCAGGGATGTGGCTACTTTGGGCAGAGCGGTGAAGGACTTCTAAGCTGAGACCTGAGGGTCACCCCCAGGACCAGCAGGGAAAGATGTTTTCCAGGCCACGGCAAGGGAAGGGCAAAGGCCTCGAGGCAGGGCCTAAGTGTGAGGAGTTAGAGGCTTGCAAAGGAGTGAGGTCAGGGAGGAGGAGGACGCGAACCGACTTGGTCGGCCAGGGAAAGGGCAGAGCAGGACAGTGGCACTGGCTTCCATCTTTGGAGCGCCACTCTGGCTGTGATGAGACGGGGCCAACGGTGGCACCAAGTGCCAATTAGGAGGCCCGTTGCTTCCATTTTGTAGACAGAGCAAAAGGAAGCCCCTAGCAAACTGCCTCCATGGTTTCTGTGCAGGAGTTTTAACAACACTGGCTAAGTTGCACTTGGTTGATGAGGAAACTGAGGCCAAGGTCGCAGGAACAAGATGCCTAGACTCACAGCCTGAATGGACATGTCCATGGAACCCGTGGCCACCCTGGGGTTGGCAAAACAGATACATCTATGCCACCCCCACTCCTGCCTTACTGCAGCCTTGCAGATCACCCAGCTGGTTGCCTGCCCCAGGAGCTTCCCAGCCCTTCCCACTGGGGCTGGGCTAGGGGAGGACCCCAGAGGAGAGGCCCTGATTGTGAGGCTTTTCCAAAACAACCTCCCCTATCCCTGGCATGAGGGGTTGTCCTTCACTGCCCTCTGGAGTGATGAACCCTGAAATCCCAAGCCCTAGGGAGATCTGGGCCTAACTCAACTACCAGGGCCCAGTGAGTGTAGTCCAAGAGGCAACGTGACCAAGCCAGGAGGACATGGGCTTTGGGGTCAGAGGTTGAACCTGGACACTCCTCATTTCCTTTATCATCCTGCTCAAGCCCTCTCACCCTCTGAACCTTAGTTTCCACCTCCAGAAAAATGAGGATGCAAACCCTCCCTTCATGGGCAAGTTGGACAACAGAATCGGGTCTGGGCCACAGGTCTGATACAGACCTTTCTTACTGACTCATGGATAAAAACACTGTCTCTCCAGACCCAAAGGCCAGGCATGGGCAGCCATGTGGCCCAAGGTCTAGTCTATGAGAGAGTGGGGGCAGCCCCTTCTCACTAGGCAAGCCTCAGCTTTACCCACTTCAGTAGAGGATTTTTCAGTTTTTATTCAAACTTCCTGTTTTTCTTCCCAATTACACATCTTTTTTTCAGTGTAGAAAAATTAGCGCAAGTGAGCAAAAAGAAGAAAATAAAATCTTTAGACCAGGGGTGGTGGCTTACGCCTATAATCCCAGCACTTTGGGAAGTCGAGGCAAGAGGATGACTTGTGTGCGGGAGTTTGAGACCAGCCTGGGCAACATGACAAAATCCTGTCTCTACAAAAATAAAAAATTAGCTGGGTGTGGGTGACACGTGCCTATAGTCTCAGCTACTCTGGAGGCTGAAGTGGGAGGATTGCTTGAACCTGGATTTAGAGGCTGCAGTGAGCTATAACCGTGCCATTGCACTCAGCCTGGGTGACAGAGTGAGATTCTGTCTCAAAAAAAAAAAAAAAAAAACTTTAAACCTACCACCCAGAGATAAGCTCTGCTAATTATGTGAAAGAGCTTTTCTTCTCTCTTTTCTCTCTCTCTCTCTCTCTCTCTCTCTCTCTCTCTCTCTCTCTCTCTCTCTGTCTCTGTGTGTGTGTGTGTTTGGGGGATGGCTGCACACTCTTCATAGACTTTTTTTTTTTTGGAGACAGGGTCTCACTGTTTTGCC